GCTGTCGAGGGGCTTCCTTTCCAACAGCACAGGCCACCTGCAGAAGGGGCTCGGCGTAAAGCAAACCTCCATGGGAAAAAAAGCAAAATTGTGTAGACACAGATTTATTTTTTTACTAAATGAACACAGGAACAGCATGGCTCTTCAAGTGACAGATTTCAACAAAAATACAAAGGATAAGAAAATGGAAACACTTTATGGCAGCGTAATGCACTGAAAAAATCTGACCTTAAATTACAAATTCTCAGGCAAAGTGTGTCTGCATGTGCCCACCTTCTGCACTGGCTGGAAGTTACCTGGCCAGGGAGTTAAACACTGCACAGAAGCAAATAAATCCCCCCAAAACAGATAACTGCCGACACTCACCTGACTTCCAGCTGGTTCAGAACAGAGGGAGAAGTTATTTGTTGCCACTTCCAAAATGTACTGGTTAGCCATACTCTGTATCACACTAATTCTTACTCATAGGGCGTGAGTGCTCAAAAAAAGAGCCAGAAAAATTTACATGTTTTTCCTCCACCAGATGCTACATCTAAAGATCTATATAGGTGAAACATCTCACAGTTCAAAGACACTGAGGAGAACACAGTCGCACCGCAGGCATCTAAACTGCCACCACCCTCTCCTGTCTCATCTTGCTCGAGTGCTCTCCAAACATTAAAAGGCGCAAAGCGTACTCCTGTCGCTCCCGCTAACCTCAGTGCACAGCTGGAACACGGAACAAAGATCTGGTGCACCATTAAGCCAGCCCTGCAGCAACACACTGTTAGAGGAAGACGATGCGACTGCAGCTCACCTGGTTCGTCTCCATCACCAGGGACAAGACATTCTGACTGAAGTCACCTAAGCAGTTGGATCGTTTTAAAAAGCCATTCGTTTCCCACAGTTTCTAAAAGAAACTTTGCTATAAACGCGGAACTGGGCTTGCTTTGTTGCTAGGGAGAAGTAGCCTCACGACCGCTAACGGCATTCGGCTCCTTCAAACATTCCTGGTGGGAGAAAGGTGCAATACTCTGGGTACAACATACAGGTGGGACGAGGTACCAAACCCCTGCGGCAGGGCACCTGGCTGCAACCCTCCATTTTCAGAAAGCAGCACGTGATGTTCACCTCCACGGGGGCAGCTGGTACAGAGCCCCCCGAGCTCTCTGGTTTCACCAGTGGCCATGCCTAAAGTCTGCCCTGGAGACCGGGCGGAACTTGAGAAGGTGCGAAAAACCGGGGCTGCTTGGTGCTGTCCTGAAAGGGCCTGCAGGGCCGCGGCTACGCAGCGTTCACCAGGTCACCCTTACAACACGGAGAAGCCACATCCACTCAGGGCAATTACCTTAAAGCAGATCTTCCAGAGTCTCACATTTATTTAATTCTAATGTGGAGATCTAAAGATTCAAATTACAGCTTATCAAAATTTATTAAAAAAAAAAAGTTATACTTCATTGAGAATTCCTATGCTTAGGTTAAGAAGTCAGTGGCAGGGCTTGAAAACAGTTGAGCTCAAGAGCAGGGCTTGAAAAGTTTTCCACAAAAATCTTTTTATTTTGGTGGGTCTGTATTAATTCCATACTTTTCCTTGAGAAGCTTAAGCTGCTCCTCTTTCTTCTTTGTGTCCATCTTTTGGAATGCCTGGAATTAGGAAAACAAGAGACGTGAGAACAAAACCAAAAAACCCTCATGACATGTCATTTCCCAGTCACTGCAGCCAACACCACGAGGAGCTGCATCACCATCACACGCACCAGCGTCGCTCGACTCAGCACCCCCGACACCCAGCAACGGGCAGAGCACCAAGGCTGGAGACCTTTTACCTGTAAA